TGCCTGGCTGGCTGGTATTGTGTTAAACAGCATCCCTGACTAGTATGACTTGTCTCTAAACCCAAAGGGAAGGAATTGAAATTTCCTGTTTAGTCAAATTAGGTTTGTAACTTTGGCTTTCTTTTAGTCTATCATTTATTCTTATGCTGGGTTTCACACATTTATTTTCTACTTTTTTGTGTCCTTTTGTATTGTGTGTCTTTGTAGGCAACATTTTATTGGATCTTCTTTTTCTTTTTAAATTTTTTATTATCATATTATTGTTGTCCTGGGGGAAGATCCAGTCTGAGAATGTCTGACCTTTAATCTCCTGAGTCTAACCCATTCATATTTACTGCAATTGCTATTATGTTAGGGTTTCTTTTGATTTAGTATTTTCTACTGTCCACTACTTTCTTTTTAAAATTTTCAACATTTTCTTCATTTTATTGGGTAGATTGAGTTTTCTTTTGAACTTAATAAGAACCAAATTTATATTATTTGTCCCTATTGATTTTGTAAGTGTATCAATATTTGTGTTGTTCATTCTACCAAGAAGATAATAGTAGAGTGTTTCTTATGCCCTTCAGACCTCCTATACTTCCCAAATGTGTTTATGTTGCTTTTGTGTGGGGTTATTATGAGTGTGATTTCTTTTCTTCAATTCTTGCCTGATTTTTCCTAAATAATAGTAGGTTTTACCAAGATATCAAATTTTTTGTAGTAATGAAGTTTGAACTTGGGGCCTTACATAGGCAAGTGATCTACCACTGGAGCCCTCAGCCCTTTTTTGCTTTAGATTATTATTCTAAAATTTTTTTCAGATAGGGTGTTTCATTTTTGCCTGGAGCAGAACTTAGCTCACACTCTTCCTACCTGTACACAGGTATGTACCACCATGCTCAGCTTATTTGTTGAGATGGGGAGTATCAGTAACTTTTTTACCTGGGCTGACCTCAAATAATGATCCTCCTAATCCCCACTTCCCAAGTATCTGGGTTTGCAGGTATGAGCCACTGTGCTCAGACAAGTTTTTTATATCTCTTGTAGTTGCAGTTTCTCTTGGATTTGTCTTTCTTCTTATTTTACAATTTCCTCCAGAAGAATTTTCACTGTATGTTTTTATGTGACAACTATCTTAGATTTTATATTTTATGAATATAATTTTAGCTGAGCACTGGTGGCTTATGCCTGTAATCTTAGGCATGTACTCAGGAGGCAGAGATCAGGAGGCTCTCCATTCAAAGCCAGCCTCGGAAAATAGTTTGAGAGACCCTATCTTGAAAAAACACAATCACAAAAAAAGGACTGGTGGAATAGCTCAAAGTGCAGGTGCTGAGTTCAAAATCCAGCACTGCCAATGTTTAAATGTTTGAATGATTTGACTGAATATAAAATTCTGTGATATATATTACATTTTTTGCCTTTTAATCACTAAAGAGTACACACATATGTGTCCCCATACACATATTCCTCATCTTCTTGCATCCAGTGGTACTACATAAAATTGGATACCAATCTGATATTTTTTCCTTTAGAGGGAATCTTTTCTCTAAAAGATTTTCTAAAAGGTTTTTTAGATTTTCTCTTTGTCTTCAATATTTATAAATTTTATTATGATACATCCATGTGAATATATATATATATATATATATATATATATATATATATATATATATATATATATATAGGTAGGACTGGGGTTTAAATTCAGGACTATGCATTTGCAAAGCAGGTACTCTACCACATAAGCCATAACTCCAGTCTATTTTGCTCTGGTTATTTTGGAGATGAGGGGTCTCACAAACTATTTGCTCAGGCTGGCCTTCAACTGTGATCCTCCTGATCTCAGAGTAGGTAGGATTATAGATGTGAGCCATGGTGCCCAGCTTTAAAAATATTTCCTATCTTTACTCTGCCCTCTACTAAGCCCTTTCAAACTGATGTCTCTCATGGGTTTCTTTCCTGAATATGTATCTTAATTAATCATTCATATACTTACTCTCTTTTTTTTTTCAACTTCAGGGACTCCTCTACATAGATTTTGGCACAATTAGTTTTAGTCTCCATATTTATTTCTTTGTTACTCCTAACTCCAAATAGTTTAGGATGCAGTCTCTCAACTGTGTAATCTACCAGCCTTGGTGATCTGAAGGAGGAGAGGGAAGCGGTAAATGTAAGAGTAACTGGCCAGTCTCTACCTCTTTCATCAACTCCTTCCACAGTGGATCTTTTGCGCTGCCCTAATGTTATTCTTCAGAAATAGCCCCTACTGTCATGGTTGTTAGGCCTATTTTTATAGTGAAGGACCAATGACAAACGTGCATGCGTAAATAAATGGAGGCAAGAACACACCTAAAATGCTATCCTCCATATTGACATACGTGGCCACCTTTCCTTGAGGCAACAGCCATCCTCCTCCTCCAAGTCAGGTCAGTTCAGAATGTCTCATGTTTCTCTCTTCCTTTATTTTTACTCCTCCCCATCAATCTTCTTCCCTCTCCCCTCCTGCTGTTTCTCTTCTGTTTTTTTTTTCCTCTTTCTAGTTTGCCTCCCTTCCTACCTCTCTCTCTCACTTCTTTTCTCCTCTCTTCTCCTCTCTTTCTATAATGAAGGAATCATTACTTCTTTCACTCTTCAACTATTTCTCTAGAACTTATTTGGAGAAGGGACCCACAGATTACTGTATCAACATGAAGGCTGGCTGATAATGAAACCATATACTTGTGTGTATGAGCACAAAGCATTTATTTAACAATTCTGCATCTCATTTCAGTTCTTTCAAGTCTACATGTCATTTGAGTTTCTTAATAACCGAGTGAGAGGAGAACTATTACCTGTTTCACAGGTTATGGAACTGGTTGCAGAAATGTTAACTGAAAGCCTTTTTATTTTTATTTTTTTGGCAATATTGCAGTGTGAACTCAGGGCCTCCCCCTTGCGAGGCAGGCACTCAACCACTTAAGCCACAACTCCAGCCCGCCTTGTGACTTTTGTCTCAATGCTCTCTCCCCATTGAGTTCTTGGGGTAACAGGGCTCATTACCGATACCTAAGAGTAATTAAAGCTGCCAGTGGCACTGGCTCAAGATTACTGGTTTATGTAGTGGGTCCTGCATTGCTTTGTAAAAGCAACATTGGAGCCTTGGTGGAGAGGTAGAATTATGCTGTACAGTAAAATTTTGGGTAATCCCCTCAAGTTAATTTCCCATTCCTGGAACAATAAATGTTTGCATTTGAAATAAATTAACAGCATGCATCTTTGTGTTACATATTGAGGTACTAACATAGTACAAGAATCACTCCTATAAGAGGACTGCAGCTGGGCACTGGTGGCTCATGCTTGTAATCCTAGCTACTTGGGAGGCTACAATTTGAGGCCATCCTGGACCCTATCTTCATGAGATTCTATCTACAAAAATAACCAGAACCAAATGGACTGGATGCGTGACTTAAGCAGTAGAACACCTGGTTTGTGAGTGTGTGAGTACCTGCTTTGCAAGCATGAGTTCAAACTCAGTCCCAGAGAGAAAGAGAGAGTGAGAGAGAGAGAGAGAGAAGGAGAGAGACTATTTTTAGACTAAACACAATGAAAAAAAACTTATTATATATGAAAACAGCACAATTCTTTTTTGGATTGCTCTGATTTAGGGAAAATTGTTCCAGTTTATACTGATATGACATCTTCTCTGCAAGTCCCTCTTGCATGTCCCTAAAACCCTTTTCTCCTGTTCAATATCAATCTCTAATTTAGCACATAAGTGTTCCTTAGAACACCAGTTCCTTTGAGACCAGTCTTTAGAAGTCCTTAAGTTTAAAATCACCACTTTGTAGATAAGAGTTTGAAATAGACATAAGACCAGAGGTTTATTTGAACAGGGGTGTGGACTGAGATATGGTCCCAGTAATAAGATAAGGGGATTCAGCAGGATTTTCTATGAATTTGCTCAGTTCAACAAGTGTCTGACAGATGTTGAACTTGTGAGATTTCTTTATAGTTACACCAAATCATAAAAGTATGTCAATGGTCCTTCTAATTTCTCTTTAGCAGAACAGGATTACATTCATATTTCCTAAAGTGAATGTGTATGTGCTAATCTATAAATCAGATGAGCCTTGTGAGCTTGTCGTGGAGATTGACAGAAATATTATCATAACATTATTACTAAATTATATAATTATCCAATTTTACTTGCTTTACAACTCTCATACTCTTTATGTTCCTCTCTCTCTCCGCCCCCCCCCACCGTCCCCCATCCTTTCCCTCCTTGCTGGGGATTGATCCAGGGACTCATGTCATGCATACTAGGCAACCACTCTACCACTGAGCTATATCTCTAGCCCTTTATCATTTGCAATGATTTATCTAGTCCCGCCCACAAGTCTGATGTAATGAGCTCTATGGTAATGATCCTAATTTCAAGGTCATAATTAGACCTTGAAATAAAAAGATTCAGAGTTAAGGCAAATGGCATTCCATTCATCTCAGAATGACTGTTCATATCCAATTAGTGTCTTCTGTCAGTGATTCAGAAATTGGGCATAGCACGGGAGAAAAAGAGTTGAGTAGATGTTCTTTATTGCTGAATCATAGACCAAGATATATAACTTTCCCTGGAAGATGTTATTTTTGAGATGGTTGGGAAAATTTGAATAGGAAGTACATATTAGAAGATGGATTTACACTAATTAGGTGTGATAATGTTGATGGGGTATGTAGGGAAATGTCCAAACTTCTTAGAGGTATACTCTGAATATGTAGGAGTAAAAGAAATGATGTCTGAGACTGTAATATGCTTCATCAAAGAAAAAAAGAGAAATAATAGAGGGAGGGAATGTGGTGAATACCTCACAATTTGTAGAACTTATATGATAGATATATAGGGTTCATTATACTACTGTTTCTACTCTTATGTGTGTTTGAAAATTTTCATAACAGAACATTAAAAGTCCTTGACAAGTAAGCTTTTAAATGTGTCTGTTTTACTCCTACAAGTGAAAAATAAAAGTGACTTTACTTACACATAGCCCATCGTGCAGTTTAGTTATATTAAACCCTTCATATCTGAAAGAAATTATATTTTGAAATTATTATTTTTGCTCTGTGGTATATAATAAATTATGATTAAATTTTACTTGATAATCTTTGGCTAAGTTCGAGAAGGAAAACTGTTAGTTGTGAATTCTTACTTAACAAATATTTGGAAATATCTACTATATGGCTGCTTATTTGCCAGAGAGTTTCAATACATAAAATATTGTCATCCTGAAGCAAAATACAGAAATTCAACACAAACTTTGAAGATTCAAGTAGAAATAGAGAGTGTGATCTAAAGTTAAAACATGCATTTGATGAAAGTTGAGATATTACTACATACAGAATTAAAAAGGATTATAAGAGAATATTGCGAACAATTATTTGTCAACAAATTAAATAGGTGAAATAGACAAATTCATAGAAACACCAAATTACCTAAACTGACTCAAGAAGAAATAAAAAGTCTCAATAGATCTATAACAAGTAAAGCCATTGAATCAATAATAAAACATCTCCCAAGAAAAAGTTTAAGACCAATGACTTCAGTAGTGAATTCTACCAAATATTTTTCAAAGATTTAATACCTACCTTTCTGAAACTCTTCCAAACAATGGACTAAGAGGGAACACTTCCAATTTATTGTATGAAGGCAGCATTATCATGATTCCAAAGACATCACACACACACAGACACACATACAGAGAGAGAGAGAGAGAAAGAGAGAGAGAGAAATACCCCTTAGGAACAAAGGTTTAAAAATGCCCAACATAATTCTAGCAAAATAAAAATAATGGCATATTAAAGGGATCATATACTATGATCAAGTGGGACTTATCCTAAGAATTCAGGGTGGTTCAACCTAAATATAACAATATAAGGGCTGAGGGTATGGCTCAAGTGGCAGAGTACTTGTCTACCAACTGCAAGACACTGGGTGCAAACCTCAGTATTGCCAAAAAAATAATAATAGAATAACTTCACATTTATAGAATGAAGGGAAAACACATGATAATTTTAGTTGATGAAACACACACATACACAAAACCAGATGCAATGGTGCACACCTGAAGTTTAGCACTCAGGAGGTAGAAGTAGGAAGACTGCTTGATTCCAAGAATTCAAATTCAAGACCAGCCTGGGCACTATAGTGAAACCCTGTCTAAAAGCATACACACACACACACACTATATATATATACATATATATATATATGTATATATATATATTCAAAAAATCTAACATTTTTTCATAATAAAAATATGCAAAAAACTAGGACCAGATGCGAACATACTCAATGTGATAAAGAACACCTACGAAGAACCTATAGCCAAGATCACACTCAGTGGTGAAAGATTGAACAATTTCTCTCTAAGATCTGGAACAAGACAGGACTGCCTGCTTTCAGCACTGATATTCAACATTATATTGGAAATTCTAGGCAGAACAATTGGGCAAGAGAAAGAAATAAAAGATCTAAATTGGAAAAAAAAGAATTAAAACTATCTCTATTCAGATATGTCATGATCCTATATGTAGAATCTCAAAGAATTAATATAAAACTACAACAACTAATAAAAATTTTTTAGCAAAGTTACAGGAAATAAGATTAATGCCTTGCTGTTGTTTCTATAAATCAGCAATGAATGATGGAAAAATAAAATTAATAATTTTATTTACAATAGCATAAAAAACTCTAGTAATCAGTTTAACCTGGAATGTAAAACGCTTGTACACTGAAAACTGAAACATTGCTGAAGGAAATTAAAGAATATCTAAATAAAAGAAAAATATCTCATGCTCATTGATCAGAAGAATTAACATTGTTAAAATGACAATACTACCCAAAGCAATCTGCAGATTGAATGCAATCTCTGTTAAAATTCCAATGATCATTTTTTACTTTTGCAGAAATGGAAAATCCAGTCTTCATATTAGAATGCCTATAATTCTAGCTATTTGGAAGGCTGAGAACCAGAGGGTTATGTTTCGAGGCCAGCCTGGGCAAATAGTTTGTGAGACCCCCCCATCTCCAAAATAAGCAGAGCAAAAATGGGCTGGAGGTATGGCTTAAGTGGTAGAGCACCTGCTTTGTAAGCATGAAGCCCTCAGTTCAAACCCCAGTCCTACCAAATAGAAAATGATATGGAATTGCAAAGGACCCTGAGTAGCCAAAAATATAATATAATATATATATATATATATATATATATATATATATATATGCATTCTTTTTGTTGTTGTTCAGTGGTAGAGTACTTGCCTAGCATGAACAAGGCCCTGGGTTCAACCTCCAGCAATGTAATAATGTAATAATAATAATAATAATAATAATTATTATTATTATTATTGTCTTAGGAGTTGCTCTGGGGCTAAAAGTAAAATTTTAATTTATACAGATCTAATTTGGATTAATAACAATTACAGGAGTATTCAAAGATGTTTTATAAATATGTATATATATTATATATTCCTATATTCCTTCTTTGAGCTATTATTGCCACATAAATTATATCTTTATACATTGTATGTCAATTAGCACAGACTTATAATTATTGCTTTATGCAGTTGTTTTTTAAATCAGGAGAAAAAGATTTATTCTAAAAAATACATGTTGGTCACTGGTAGCACCAGCCCCCAAGAAGATTATTATGCTTCCTTTTCTTCTTTTTTAAATTAATACCCTGCTAGTATTAATTAGTAATACTAATTAGTAAAAGTAGTAGTATTTTTAATTAAACCCCAGACACTGGGGTTTGAACTCAGGGCCTGCATGCTTGCTAAGCAGGCACTCTTACTGCTTGAGCCACTCCACCAGTCCTATTATTCCTTCTCTTGAGGAGAAGCCAAGAAGAGGAAGGGAGAAAGAGATAAATTTGTTCTACTCTTGTGTCTTTGCTTTTTTCTCTACAATACTGAACTTAACTTCTAAATCTCAGAAAGGGTGTGAATTTTCTCCTTAAAAGAAGTAGATGTTAGGGAGTTCGCCCACCTCTGTAAGTGGTTTCCCTAATGCACACTTCTGTTTCTCACTCTTCCCCTTAGATCAGAGAATTTGGCATTTCACATGGATGTCACCCAAAGTTTTTAACATGTAATAGGTCCCCAAACTAAACCACATACCAGGATGAAAGTTAAAGAAATGTTTTGGAGAATAACATTCAAAGGCCAATAAACCATTACCTGGGAAAATTCTTCACCCAGTTTCTTCCTCTTCTTTATCAAGGTTTTGTTCTTTGGTAAGGGTGGGGGTGGGCATGACTCTTGTCTATGGTCTCATGAACTCAATGCCATGGCTACTAGCTACCGAGTTCCCTCTACTTGATCCTTTTCCAGGCTCTACATAGCACTCTTACTTCCATAGCTTTCTGTTTCTGCATTGCCTGTTAGGTAACTTTTGGGAGGAGAGGGAGCAATGGAAGAAATGGAGGAGCAAATAGTAGAGAAGTCTCTGTTGGGGGGAAGATCTACTGGATGATGTAGGAAGTGAACTGAGAAAGTCACCTCTATTTTGGTCATCCTTAACCTTCTGGCTTGTGAGAGTGAGAATAAAATCAGGACTTACAGAATTTTGTAGCAGAGATGGCACTCACCACTGTAGGTAACCCGGTCACTGCCGCATATAGGTTCACTTGGCTTAAAGTAGGAGAGAAGCCAGCACTTCTTTAGGTTCTTGATGCACAGGACCTGAAGGTAAGATACAGAAGACTGCTTCAGTTGCTTTTCTCCAGATCCTTTGGCCATTATCATTGGTACCAGAAGCAAGAGATGAAGTAAGGGACACCAGACTGGACGTTCAGAGAACAAGTTTCAGAATCCTCAGTGTTTGACCCCAGAACTTTAACTATGCCTATATAATATATAATCTGGGTACTCCCAAGTGCCCCATAAATTCCTTATTAGGATGAAAATTCCTATCCTACTAGTCACAGCATATGTTTTTTTAGTTTATAGAAAGCAAAAGTAGGAAAAAGTCTTTCAATACTGGAAATTCTTACGAACATTGCTGAGTGACTTATATGTGGGGTCTTAGATGGCAGTGGGCACAAATTTATCATAGCAGGGTTAGAAAGTAGGAGGAAGCTGATAAAAAGAATTCATCATGGGGTCTTAGTGTGAGGAAAGCAGGATATATATCCTGGAATATAGTAAAAGAAAGAGTGTCCACTGTAGCCTGGGACCAACCAGAATTCCTGCCATAACCTTTTCATCCTTTTAATGGTGCAGACAGAATACTTGCTACCTCCCCTTCTCCTCTTCCTCCCTTTCCTCTTCCTCCTCCTCTTCCTTCCCCTCCTCTTCTTTCTTTTGTACTAGAGTTTGAACTCAGGGCCTTGCACTTGATAGGCAAGCACTCTACCACTTGAGCCTTGTCTCCAGGACTTTTTGCTTTAGGTTATTTTTCATATAGGGTCTCCTGCTTTTTGCTGGCCTTAGACCATAATAATCCTACCTATGCCTCCTGTTAGCTGGGATGACAGGCATATGCCACCATGCTTAGTTTGGCTTATTTGTTGAGATGGTGTCTCACTAACTTTTTTTTGCCTGGGCTGGCCTGAAACTTCGATCCTCCTGAGTAGCTGTGATTACAGACATGACTGTCATGCCCAGCTTGCACTTGTATGAATATGATTAGAGTAATGTGTGGAAAGAGGGCTCAGGGCTATCAAATGTACTCTATTTTGGTGACTCAGTTTTCATGATTATGTTATTCCCATGTAAGTTCCCTCTGCCCCCGGCCTCCCAGAAGAAAGACCTGGGGCTATCAGGAAAATTGGCTCTCTTTCCCATTCCTGTTCTTGGGAACCAAGGAAGCCTACAGAGCTTACCTTTGTCTCTTTGAGGTCTGTTTCCTTGGAGGACATAGGAAGAGAGAAGTCTGGAAAAAAAAAAAAACATACACATAGTTTCTGTTCTGTCCTGTGTCCTCTAGGAAAAAAGCTAGAATGAGAGCATCCCTGTTTATCAGTAGGAACATAAAATGCCATCAGAAGAGGCTGGGGTTCCTCTTTGGTGCAAAGCTGCCTTCTAAAGGAGTTAAGAACAGGAAACTTCAGCCTCTTGCCCTCTAGTGAAATGGAGATCTGGCTCACCCACTTCACTGGTAAATAACTACTCTATAATTCTTCTTTGTTGTTTTAGAAAACACACTGTTAATTATAAATTACCATGAAATAGTTATATTGAGATACGGTAAAAGATGCTGAGTTTTAGGCTGGCGGAGTGCCTCAAAGTTGGTAGACTGCCTGCCTAGCAAGCATGAGGCTCTGTTCAAACCCCAGTATTGCGAAAAAAAAAAAAAAAAAAAAAAGGTGCTGAGTTTCACTAAGGTTTATATGTTCAATCTGAATCAGTCTTTGCAATTATACATGTACTGTATGTAAAGTTTTATATTACATAACTATATAATCATAGTATAGCCTCATAATTGTATAGTATATATAACATGTATGCTATATTATCTGCTCTTCCTATCTGCTTTATTAAGTTATAATTCATGTATCGTATCACCTAGTTAAAGGATTCACCTATGCTAAGGTTGGCATACTAATATATTCAGAGTCATCTGAATGTAACCGTCATCACAATCAATATTGGAACATTTTCATCACAAAAGAAACCCTGTACCTATTAGTAGTCACTTGTCATGCCCCTTCTACCCCTGTTGATATGGAGCCAGCTATTAAGCTCTGCTAATTGCCAGATGGTTGCTCTGTTGTTTTCACCAATTCTCTGAAGAATGAATTGCTGCACAGTCAATCCAATTAAATTTGAACTCTTTTTCAGGGTAGTTTTTGAGACCAGTCTTTGAAGTTTGTTCTGATCCCCAGGAGGTTCTTTTTAGCAATCTTCATTTCCTGGTTCTTTCTGTTAAACAAGTGGGCCTGTGGCTTAGCATATTGTTCTCATGGAGCCACCTGGCCACTGGCCACCTGCTTCCTTTTTCTTTTCTTTTTTCTTTTTGTTGGTGGTACTAGGGTTTGAACTCAAAGCCATACACTTGCTAGACCAGTGCTCTACCATTTGAACCACACCCCCAGCCCTTTTAGTTTAATTTTTTTTAAATATAGGGTCTTATGCTTTTGCTTAATACCAGGCTCAGATCTCAATCCTCCTATCTCTTCCTTTTACTCAGTTCATCTGCTTCCTCTTAATTGCTGACTATCCAATCTCCATTGTTTTTGAGGGTGCCCTTAAAGTTGAACTCCAGTCCTTCTATTACAAATAAAGTCAGTTTCTTTGGAAAAGACTCTGGAGTTCTCTGTTCTTATGGTCTGCCTATTTCCCTAGACAAAATATTTATGCCACAGCTCTGGACAGTGGCCTGCTTATCTCAGAGTGACAACCTCTGATATTCTCAGCTTATTTCTCCAAGCCTGGAACCACCAACCTAGAAGCAAGCTGGAGTGAGGATGATTACGGCCCCACTATTCTCAGCTTCCCTAGGTTGGGGTAGAGTTTCAGCCCTACAAATGAGAGTTGGTGGGAAAAGGGAGCCCTCTACGTATTGGTTTCATAACACAGAGCTTGAGGGTAGGGTGAAAAAATTTGGTGACATGCCTCTTCCAGGGAAATACCATGGCTCTCAACTATAAGCTTGGGAGAGACAGAGACTCATCCTGGCCATACTTGCCCAGAATGGAGTTCCTATCATGTTGAACTGGTCAGTGGAGGGAAAAGGGTGACATGTTCTACATGCTGTCAGTGTTCTTACTTTTTGAAATACTTATCAAACTATGTGTTAATACTTGGTGTGCGTGATAATATCTATGTATCTCCCATCACTGGTGTGTCACACTGTGAGGCCAGGGACCATCCCTGCCGTACAACCAGTGTCCAGTCCAGTTCAGCACACAATATATATTTAGTGGATATGTAACTAACTGGGTGCTGTGGAACCCACCATGATAGTAAGGGTTGTATCACAAAGGCTTCTTCTATGTTTAGTATAGTAGAACTAAGACAGGATTTGAACTAAAAAAAGATGATGATGGTAGCAGTATGGATAATGAGTTAGATTAAGTCAAGCTGTCACCAGGAAAACACCCTCTCAAATTCTTAAGAAAAACAATTCCTTTTTGCTAACCAATGTTCCATTTCAGATAAGATACCCACTTAATGGGCTAAAGACATCTGGGATGTTGGCTGCTGCTGTTAATAGGATACAGAATGGAACAGGGCCGAACTGGTTTCAGTCAAAAAGGACAACATGGCCTGGCACTGGTGGCTCACACTGTAATCCTAGCCACTCAGGAGGCAGAGATCAGGAGGATCACATTTTGGAGCCAACCCGGGCTAAATAGTTCGAGAGACCATATCTCGAAAAAACCCTTCACAAAAAAGGGCTTGTGGAGTGACTCAAGGTCTAGGCTTTGAGTTCAAATGCCAGTACCACAAAAAAGAAAAAGTACCACACACACAAAAAAAAGACACCATGTTGACCAGCTATTCACCTCAGACTCATTACCATTGCATTGTAATACATTATTTAGTACACTTCCCCACGTGCCAGCACCATCTTAATCTGGTCCTGTTGGATACAAACTATATTCATCCCATACATGGACTGAAGGGAAGTGGTTCCATCGATATAAAATCCTCCCTTTTCTCCTCCTACCTTCCCCCCACTGCCCCAAAGAGTTCTCAGCTTTTGTTCAGCTGATAAACTGAGTTGTGAGGCTTTTTCTTCCTGCTTTTCCTAGTCTCTGACTCAGTCGTCACTTAGATTTGCTGTTGGTTCCACAATTCTGACCCAGTTTGGGGTAAAAAAAAAAAATGGTAAAAGAAAAAAAGCTGGAAGCAAATAGAACAGTTAAAAAGAGTATTTAAAACTTTTCAGAGTTGCTGGGAAATGGAATTTTGACTATAGATTGGGCAGATTTAAAGCAACAGTCCTAATTCTACTTTACTACCACCACACTCTGAGGACAAAACTCTGCTACCCCCAGCAAAAAAAAAAAAACAACTTTTCAGAGACTAATAAGAACCTTCATTAAGGAAATGTTAGAAAGGTGTGAGTTTATGTGATACATATAATGTGTTCTGTCAATTGGACTTGGTCACTGAGGATGAGCACTCAGGAAAGGAATGGTATGAGGGAAAATATAAGGCAATACAAGGACAAGGAAAGAATTTTTAAGAAAGATTGGGTGGTTGAGTAATGGCGTGTTCCCCATGGAGGGCTGGCATAAGACTACATCAGAAGGGAATGCATTCTGATGCCAGTAGGCAGTGTGCCCAGTAGCAGTGGGGGTGAGGGCTGAGAGAAAACGGAGGATGTGTGGAAATACATCTAGATTTCTCCAGAGGGGATTAAAGTGGAAGGGGAGCAGCAGGAAAGGACCTTTTGTTTTGTTTTGTTTTCCATAAGATATGAGAGGCATGAAGAATAGTTTTCAAATTGTTACAAAAGTGAAAAAAAAAATATATATATTTTGGCTTAAACATCAGAAATTTATTCTCACACATCTGGAGGCTGGAAATTAAAGTGTTATTGGGGCCAGGCTTCTCCAGAAGGCTGAAGGAAGAAGTTTTCCTTTCCTCTTCCAGATTCTGGGGGTGCCAGCAATTCTTTGGCTGTCTCTGCCACTATCTTGACATGACTTTCTTCCCTGTGACTTCCTTTTTTTTTTTATTTTATTATTCATATATGCATACAAGGCTTGGGTCATTTCTCCCCCCTCTCCCCACCCCCTCCCTTACCACCCACTCCGCCCCCTCCCTCTCACCCCACCCCCTCAATACCCAGCAGAAACTATGAAAAATATTTTAAATGAGAGGTAGCAATTCTGGGAAGTAAGAGATTGAAGGAAAACAAATGAGGAGCATCAGAGTCTAACCCGGAAAAGAATGTGTGGAGGCCTCAGAGATCTCTCCAATTTAACCACGAACACTACTTTTGGTAAAACCAGCCATTACCCAGAGTAATATCAGAGTTCACGTCCACAGAGCCTAATGTTCCTTTTGGATTTGAGCTATGTAAATATGCAGACTCTGGAAATAAACATTTCCAATATCTGAGTGTTCTGAATGATAACCTGGTATTTTGGAAAATTCAATGTTTCCAGATTTGGAAGGCTTAGATTCAAGTCCCTGCTTAGATACTAATGACATTGTGTGGATTTTTTTCTTCCTCCAGATTTTAGTTTCACCTGAAACATGAAGAATTAGGATTAAACAAAACTAAATGACATTTCCACCTCTAATTGTCACATAATCTGAATCTACTGCAGAATATATGGGTACAGGAAAGATTTGTAACTCACCAATTGCAAAAGCAGTCCACATGAAGATGGCAAGAAGAACAACGATGGCATTTGAGAAGGTCGCCTTCATGGTGAAGCTGTGGAAACATGTAGTTTTTGATGGTAGTAGTACCAGGGGATGAGATAAGTAAACCCTAACCCCGCCAGCTCCACTTGCTTGGAGTTTATTCCCACTGGTTTTGCTGTAGAAGACACCCCCAACTGAAGCCACTTAAAGACTGTTCTCCAGTGAGTTTATCACCCCCTTCCTCTGGAGGAAAGTTGCTTTTCTCTATCTCTCTTAGTTCACCAGGGAAAAGTAGCTGTTTGCTATCTCCTGTTCTCCAGGGAAAACATGCCTTTTTGTATCCTAATAATTAACTGCAGAATTAACTACTCCTGAGAAGAGGAACAAAAAAGACATGAGTCATATAACTTTCTGTAACTTTTCTTTCGATTTACAGAACCCAGAACATCCAGTGACCTGCAGCTAACAGCAGCCTGTGTCTTAGAAAAACAGAGCGCCGAGATTTGTAACTACCTTGGTGCCCGCCAAAAACCTCTATCTTCTTTAATTTGCCAGTTTTCCAAATACATCTTTTTTCTTGCCCCAACAATTTGTTCTGAGTCATCGGTGAGTCATTGGCTTTTTCAAGTGGTGAGCAATGAATGTGGTTTATGGTTACTGGAGGACAGAAAAAATTCCATGTGAAGTACAAATTGTTGCAGATTCCTTGCTAACCATGAAATGAAATCAAAATACATGGTCCTTTCCCAGGTCATTTGAAATGAATTATGTTGGATACAAATGGACTCACATATGCTATTCTATCAATAAAAGAAAGGGAATGTCCTGCTGGAAGCCTAGGAACAAAACTGCTACAGCATGGAGTTTTCTTTAAAGGAGCAGTTTAGTTATTAGACTCTCATAGCCCAAGAATGTGGAAAGCAATATGGCCAGCCTCTGCTCTGCAGAGCAAAGCTGCTGTCCATGTAGTGTCTGGCCAGACATCCTACATCTCTCAGGTCTGTGATGGAGGTGGTTCTCCATCCCTCAGCCCCACTCCCCAAAAAAAGAAGAGGGATGGCATAAAAATTACATAGGAATAATCATTAACACAATGTCTTCTTGGATAATTATAGCCTTGATTTCAGCAGACTTAATGGAAGCTAAATTAAATTGAGATGGAACCCATTTCTGAGAAAGGATTTTAATTCTGTGAAGTTCCTTTTGTAGGCGGTAAGGGGCCAATCTGTAAAGCAGGTAGAATTGTTCTCAGCTTCTTGACTACTGTGAGGGGTCACAGCTGGCCAGAAAGTATTGCTGGGGGGCAGATGAAAGAATTCCTGGAGACCAACTGCCACACAAGAGTCCAGCTTTTGGGAGCCTGGAAATGTAAGCTCAGGCTTATGCAGTTCCAAATCTTAGGAAAAGACTGAATTTTCAGACACATTGCTTGCTTTCTGCTAAAATAAGGAATGTGCCACTCTGCCAGAGCATGGTCTTTTACAAATTATTAAATAAAACTATATATCTCATTGTTAACAAAGGAAGAAAGAAGGAAGGAAGAAAGAAAACTATTTTTAAACGTAAATTTTAGAAGATGCCAGGAAAAAGGCTAATAAAGAGTATTTTAAGGGAAAGAATAAATGCTAGGAGCTTTTCAATGAAACATGTAAAGTTTATATTGACTCTGAGATGAAGGGTAATAGTAACCAGGAAGCTCAGTGACATGTATAAGTAAGAAATGAGAAGGGACAAAGCAAGGACCCTCACTCCAACACTCTTCACTTCTCATAAGGTTGTTACTTTGGTGTTATTATTTAGTAACCAGTATAATTGCTAAAGTGAAAACCATAGACAATTTCTCAAGAGCTCACTTGCACTAACCAAAAATACAGATCATGCTGATTGACATTTTATTTGCTAGTTTCTCTCCTCTTCATCCTACATATTTTCCAGACAAATGATAAATCTAGGTAATTTGTGCCTCAGACCTTCCCTGAGTAGAGCAAATAATAAATAATGCAACACTTTTCTATTAAAAACTTGCATATTAATAAGTCCATTTTACCTGCTGTGACTTCTGCAGTTGCTCTGAGAAACTGGCTGGGCAGGAAGGGTTTTTTTTTTTGTTTTGTTTTTGATCATTTGATAATGAAATAGCAAGACAGGCAGGACGTAGTGTCTTTTCCAGGTTACAGTGACTGGCAGTGAAAGACAGTGAACTTTGAATTAGGAAGTATAAATATACAGGTCAAACCTATCTCTTCCAAATTCCATACTCAATCTTGTGAGTTCATATTTCAACTTTCTCTGGAATCTAGCTATTCTTGCCAAACCCAAATCTATCATTTTAGATCTATGCCATAATCAATTTTTTAATTCCTAGATTTTTATCTGTACTTCATTGGTTATGTTCAGGATAGCTGCAGGTATTTACATAAGATTATAAATTACCATATCTGCTATTTAGTTAATTATTTTATCAATCATTAAAACTGTACATTCACCTTATTGAAACATTTACTTAAAACATTTCTATATTGACTCATAGAATCTTTTTTCTTTTCTCTTATTTTTTTATTTTTTATTTTTTGTGAGACAGAGTCTTACTAAGGTAGCCCAGGCTGGTATTGTACGCCAGGTCCTCCTGCTCCAGCCTCCTGAATGCTGGGATTATGGACGTGGTCCACTGTGTCTGACCTTAATCAAAGAAAAAGTAGAAAGTTATCCAGAATCTGTGAAGTTCAATCTTATGTGATAGAGTTGACAAATTCTGAAATAGACCACTCATTCCCTTAAGTGATAGCTCTTGCTACCCCACTTGGAATTAAAAACATCCTCAAAGCTGGGTGTCTGTGGCTCCCTCCCACCTGTAATTCTAGCTACTCAGGAGGCAGAGATCAGGAGGATCACAGTTCCAAGTCAGCCTGGGCAAATATTCCATGAGACCCCCATCGAGTGGCTTATGGTGTAGGCCCTAAGTTCAAACCCCAGAATCACACACACACACACACATACACACACATTTACAGAGAAATGGGGTGTGGTAGTACAGGCTTGTAATCCCAGCACTCAGAAGGTTGAGGCAGGAAGACTGTGAGTTCAAGGCCAGCCTCAGGCTACAAAGTGAGACCCTGTCTCAGAAAACAAAACAAAACAAAAACAACAGAGAAGAAGCCAGGGTAGCAGACTTAAAAAAGAAAAAAAGAAAACAGAAATTGAAGAAAAATAAATAAGCAATAAGTACAGACAAGAATCTGAAACAAAAAAACCAAGGGCTAGGGATGCAGCCCAAATGATACAGTGCCTACCTAGCAAGCATGATGCCCTGAGTTCAAACCCAGTAATACCAAAAACAAAAACAAACAACAACAAAAAAACAACAAAGACAAATGAAATAGGAATAATCAGTAAATGAAAGCTAACATCTCACCATATAAAATTTTTTTTGGTGGTATTAGGGTATGAACTCAGGGCCTCCTGCTTGCTAGGTAGGTGCTCTATCTCTTGAGCCATGCCCCTAGCTTCTCACCATATAAACTTAATTTCCTGGGATAACTGCTTTGGTATAAGGTGCTTCAGAGAAAATAGCCTACACAGACAGGAATACCTGCATATTATAAGATATCTATTTCTCTAAAACAGTAAGTCAGTGAGCACAAATGAAGTGATTGGAAGTAGAAGATAATGTAAGAGAGAAAACATAATACGGTATAAATATTCCAGCCCAGAATAAGCCTGGATGAATTTATTTTGTCCATATGGTCTCTGGACTTGATTAAAAATTGAGGAGACAGTCTTCTTAAAGTCTGTGTACACTGTTGTTCTCTAAAACTTGATAAATTTCTTGAGCACACAATGTGCTATGGCCACTTTAGTTAGAATGATTCTAAAATTTCTTTTTCTTTTTCTTTTTTTTGTGGTACTGGAGTTTGAACTCAGGGCTTCACGCTTGCTAGGCAGGTGCTCTGCCAGACCTGATTGGCATGATTCTAATGTGACACTTTTTATGTTGTAATGTCTCTGATTCTTTTAGAGAAGATGATAAGGTCACATTTTGAAAGTGACAAGGTCATAAAAAGCCAATATGAGGAGAAAAGTTCTCAGATTTATATGGTACATAAAGCAATGGCAATAGCTCTGATACAATGAGCCAGTTTGCTTTCTTCTCCAAGGATTTCATAGGCAATGATTTCAAGGTGTTCAACATGCAGTGATGTGCTTATATTCAACAGTGGTTCGTGCTTTCTCAGGTCCACAAATACTTACCTGAGGAGGATACAGATGGCGTTGCAAGCCTTTTCCTGGGCATCCAAGTAAATCACATTCCTATTAAAATTCATATATATCCAGGCTCCTCTAGCCAGAGCCCAGAGGAAGCTCATTTACTTACATGTATTAAATATAACCCATGTGATAATTGTTTTGATGAATTCATATAAATAAGTATCTTGGCATGTGTACCTTATAATATTATTTTGCAGATAAAAATACAAAAGTAAGTATTTTGTCAGAGGGAAGAGGTATATAAAATTAGATAGCACTTTTGCTGGCAAACTAAGTAATATCTAAGATTGATCAAGGGGAAAGTTCTACACTGAGTTTTGCAATATAAAGAAACAGCTCTTTCCCCTCATTGGAGAGATTTCCTCTTATGTGAAATATATGCATACTCACAGAACTGACCTCTGCTGTTAGGACATTAGCTCAGGGGGTAACAACCTCTGTGTGTGTAGTGAGGAGCCCCTAAATTCTGGGTTATAACTTGGGGAATCCCTGACCTCATATCCTTCCAGAGCTGTAGTTATCATGTTATCTAAAGCAGAAATGACAGTGGCTATAAGGGATGTCATGCTAATTCTTTACAAAGTTTTATCCAGGGTATTAATTATTATTAGCAATCTCTAGTGGCTAGTGAAAATGCCCAAAGAGACTGTCAAAAGTAACTAGAAGAGAAACTTTCCAGCAATTTCCAGTGATGAGAAGCAGATATCCTCAGATCCAGTAAATGCATATAGAGAATCTAATTCCACTTTCCAGATAGAATTATGGTTCCATTGAGGAATAAATTTCCCTGAGCATGTAATTCCGTATACTTCCTCACAACCCTCAGATACCCAGGCATTTAGGACATAAACAGTGAAATGGAAACAACAATATGGTATGTTATGGGGCTGCCAAAGAGTTAGAAGTAAATAAGGTCATCTTTTTCTCTCAACAATGCCATTTTAACAAGAGGAAACGTTGATATATCCAAAACTGCTGAGAGGAAAGTTGATATAACTACCTAGAAATAGCTCTTGAAGGTTTGGGGGATCAATGGCTATAGCAGCCTCATTGATACTGTGGGGTTTTTTGTTTGTTTTGGTTTTTTTTCAGTACTGGGGATTGAACCCATGGCCTGGCTAAACAAGTGTTCTACCACTTGAGCTATACTATTTTTTTTGAGATTGGAACTCACTAATTTTGCCTGTGTTTGCCTTGAGTTCATGACCCTCCTGCCTTTGCCTTCCATGTAGCTGGGATTACAGGTGTGTACTATCATGCCCAACTGGTATTGTGGTTTTGAAGAAGTCTAGAAAGTAGAGGCAAACAT